ATGAATTTAAATTAAAAATCTATAAAAATAAGATGGATGAATGGATTGCTCTGACACGTTTCTGTGAAAGAGAGGGTTAAGGGACTGCTTGGCTACAGGGACCAAACAGCCCCGTTCGCCTGCCTCCTTAGGCTTTTATTGTAACAACAGTTTGAACTTTTTATTTTTTTTAAATATATTTTATTGATTTTTTACAGAGAGGAAGGGAGAGAGATAGAGAGTTAGAAACATCGATGAGAGAGAAACATCGATCAGCTGCCTCCCGCACATCCCCCACTGGGGAAGTGCCCGCAACCCAGGTACATGCCCTTGACCAGAATCGAACCTGGGACCCTTCAGTCCGCAGGCCGACGCTCTATCCACCAAGCCAAACCGGTTTCGGCTACACCTGACTTCTTATTAGAAACTATGGTGGCCAGAGGAGAGTAGAACTAAATTTCAAAATGCTAAAAGCAAAAAACCAAACAAACAAAAAAAAACAAACTAAAAATCCCACAAATGCCTTATTGAGTTCTAAAAGACTGAAATTGTGTATATGGCAATATTTAGTCCAATGAATTTAAATTAAAAATCTATAAAAATAAGAGGGCCAGTCCTAGGACTGACTGGCAGACCATGAGTGACGGATAAATGGATTACTCTGACACGTTTCTGTGAAAGAGAGGGTTAAGGGACTGCTTGGCTACAGGGACCAAACAGCCCTGTTTGCCTGCCTCCTCAGGCTTTTATTGTAACAACAGTTTGAACTAAAATTAACTATTACATACTATCAGTAGGGTATGCATTCTGGTGAAGACACATGCGTCTGCAGTGTCCTTTAAGCAAGGACGTGTCTAAGTAAACACCCGGGGGCTCAGACTTGTTTGGAAAAGTTAAGGCAGGGGCAGGCGCCTTCAGCCAACTCCTGTCCTGTGCTCCCCACATCTCCCCGCTTTTTGTTTTGCTGGCTGCAGAAGACAGAGGCAGGAGGTGAACTTTCTGCTTTGGAATGAAGCGAGTTCGCTGCTCGAATTCTGATTCTGTAGACTATAAGAAAACAAAGAGAATTATAATGACAGCAATGGTTAGTCCAATTAAGAAGACAGGGTGCTTACAAGCATTAAATCTTGCCTTCTAGCAAGGTGTAGGGTACAGTATTATAAAGGGGAAGGGGCTAGGGTGAGGAATGTTGCTATGTGCAAGCCTGGGGTCTATAAACATCAGCTATTAGGCAATGAGATGATGTTGAGGAGATGATCTTGACTCCTGGTGGGTCAGTCTGACCATGCTTATCGGTTCTGCTTGCTGGAGTCACAGCTGAGTCACCTCCCTAATTACTTCACACAGGCCTTGAAAAGAAAACTTTCAGAAAAACTTAACCCCTAGTCACATATAAGTATATGTGTTCTAAGATTTAAAATAATATGATTACTTTTCAAGTGCTCTATTAGATTTATTATTCAGTATACTTATAATTCCTTTTAAAATTTCTCTTTATAAACCTTCTATGACTTTTATAAACATTCTTATAACTTTCACAATTATTCTTAAGTATTCCTACTCTAATTTCCTTTCTTCCTGTTATATTCCTTTCTTTATATCCCTCCTCACACTTTTTACTTCCTTAACTCTAGTTCTTCTTTACTTGTAAAGACCCTCTGCAACTTACACATACCCTTTCAGTTTGTCTACTTCACTTTCTTTTTCCTTTCTCTCTATATCTTCTATTACATGAAAACTATAAATTCCTTCCAATTAGTTATGATTAAAGGTTAGTTCTACACAGGTTCCTCTATTACTAGCTTTAGAGTATTTGGAGTGGTGAGAAGTATGTCTCAGAGTCTAT